GGCGGCTCCGGGAAAGCTCCGGGCTGCGGACCAGCGCGGCGGCGGCGGCGCGCACCGTCCCGCACCGGCTGAGAGGCCGAGGCGATGAGGCTGGGGTCCGCGGGTCCAGCCGCAAGTTCAGGCTCCGCGGCTTCCCGCGACCGTTAACCACGTGAAGGCCCAGCCCACCAATCCCCGCCCTGCTCAGCGTTTGAAAAAAAAGGAGGGCGCGACGTCGCCCGCGGGGGCGGGGCCGGCTACGCGATTTTGGCGCGAAACCGCCCGCTCCGCCCCCCGCTCGGCGCGCCGCCAGGCCTGGGCGGGTCCGGGCCGCGGGACGGGTCTCCTAATGGAGAGGCCGGGCGGGCTCGCTGCGGCGGATCCCGGGAGCAGCGACTCCTCGCCGTTCCACCGGCGCCCTGGAGTCTGCAGCGAGACGGGCGGCCAGGCAGAGCCTTGGAGATCTCTGCGGCCGGAAGCAGCCGGGGATCGCGTGTCTCTCGCTCGCTGGGGCGCCGGGGGCGGGGCCGTGCGCTCAGAGTCCCGCGTCGCGGTGGGGGCGGCGGCGCTGATCCTTGCGAAGGCCTGGTGTCCATTGGTCTTGTTTCCCACGCGGTGACCGCGGCCCGTGTGTCCGTCCCAGGCGAGCCCGCGCGCCCCTCTGGACCACGGCGAACAAAAGCGCTAAAATCAAGTGTGCGCCTCTCCGCCGCGGGGTTTGCGTCTGCTCGCCAGCACGCGGCCCAGTGTGGGCCAAACCCTGTGCGCCTGGGGGCGGGGGAGCCCCTGCTTGAGTCGTCTTGTCACTCCTACAAGTTTCTGTTGTAAATACCTCCGCGGTGAATATTCTCCTTTTTTTTTTTTTTTTTTCTTTCTGTATTCCTTAGGACAGCTTACTGGAGGGTTGCTGGGTCAAAAGATGTAAGCTGCCAAATTGTCCTCCGGAAAGAATTTGCATTCTGATTTGCATTAGGTTGGAACACATTTGTGAGTTCCGGATGTCGAGAGAGTACATATTTCAGGTTTATTAGTGTGGATGTGTTTTGATTCACAATAGTGGACAGTGTTGATGGGTTGAATGGCCATTTGCATTTGTTTGTTTCCCAGCACTTTGTGCTAGGTAGTGTGCTGACACCTTTCACAGGCTAAAGACAAGCCAGATTTTTAAAAATGAAAACGGATTAGTGCTCACCGTGGAGAAGTTCCTCACATCACCACTGAAGATATGGCGAAGCGTTAGACATTTGCTGGCTGATGTGAAACTGGTGTCTTTTTTGGCCTGGGAACCCGGATTTAAAGAGACTAAATTCCATCGGACTCTAGGTGTTTAGGAAAGGCCCCCTCTAACCCTAGTTACCAGAGCCAAGGAAGAACGGGTTGCTAGTACCCTCCCACTAACACCTCTCCTCTGTCACTTCTCAAAACAAAAATTCTTCGTTAGGGACAGTTAACATTTTCTCAGTTTTATGCGCATGTAAGCCTTTAAAACTGCTAGAGTTTTTTACTGATCTGTAACATGAGTTGAAAGTGTGCCTTTTAGGTAAACGGAAACTTTATATAAAGTCCCTGAGATTCTTCTCACCAGCTCTTTTGTTCCAGAGACCCTCCTCTAAAAGGATTATATGTACCCCACCGTTAATCACGGAAACCCACCACCCCCAACACACAACACATCCTCTCTTTCACAACATCCTGCTTTATTGCCTTAACCTGGCTTCTAGCTATCTCGATGCGATTTGTTACTATCTCTTTCTAGAAAACATTAAGTAGGGCCTTGAGGGTAGGCACTTCCCTATTTTGTGTAATTGGAGTATTTTTTTTTTTTCTTTTTTTTGGTGGAACCAGGGATTGAACTCAGACCCTTGCGCTTTCCAGGCAAGTGCTTATTCTATTGAGCCATCTCCCTAGCCCCCTGGAGTATTTTGATGTAGTTTAAAAATTAACTATCTTATAACTGATTTTTTAAAAAATTACTTGAAAGGATTGATGACAGTCAGTCTTGTAATCCCAGCAATCTGCATAGTGAAAGAAACCCTGTCTCAGAAATACCAAAAAAAAAAAAGAAAAAAGTTTGACGCTTTGCTTCCTAAATTAGGATGTAAAGTTTAAGGGCAGCCCAGGCAACTTAGTCACTTGGGGACAATATCTCAAAATTAATAAAAGGGTTGGGGATGTAGCTCAGTGTGCAAGCCCTGGGTTCAGTTCCATCAGTGGCAGGAGCTGGGGATAACATTCAGGAGACCCTAACTTTCTCACTCTTTTTTTTTTTTTTTGAGAACCAGGGATTGAACTCAGGCCTTTGCGCTTGCGAGCTATCTCCCTGCTCTGTCTCTGTCTCTGTCTCTCTGTCTCTCTCTCTGAACCTACAGCTTCTGGAAACCTTTCTGGTTTTCAGAGTTCCAGCAATCAGCACTATGCCTTGGACACTGAGAAGGTGCTTAATAAATGTCTGGAATAATCCTAAGAAAATCCAGTCATCTTCAAAACAGAAGTGCCAAAAGAAATAAGAAACCAACGCCCTGCCTCCTCCAACTAAGCACATGGCAAGCACAATGTTACAGTGTAATGACAGCAACATCCTAACCGAAATCCGACTGTTCTAATTTTTTAAACTTCATGCTCCTCTGAGAACAGCACACTCTGTACTGGACAGAAGAGTCACACCCACCCGACCCAGCACAGACTTCTGGCTCCTTTCCACACCCAACATTTGTAATGTTGCTAGGCAATTTTTGCAGACTCCACATGCTCCTGGTGGTAGCTGTTATAATAACTGAGTAAAAATCTCTAGCTTCTGGCTTTGATGAGAACAAGCTTAACCTGTTTGTCCTCTTGGATCCGTGACTTAGCAAGTATGGTAAAAGGCTTTAATGTTATTGTCAGCACATTCACCTTCCTTGGCTGCAGTGTAAACAAGATTCTTGCCCTAAAGATTTACAAGCAAGATGCCTAAATCACCTGAAAGACAAAGCACGTGGATGTGTGCACATATTCCTGTTAACACAGGCTTTGCTCTCTGAATGAAATCCTGCAAAAGTAGAAACTAAGATTTCCTGGTGATGTAGAGTTTGTAGGAATGTCTCATAAGTTTAGTGAGGCTTTACCCACAACCAGACTGTTTTCTTTTTTTAACATTTATTTATTTGTGTGTGTGTGTGTGGCCAGCTCAGCCCACCTGGGGGCGGGGCTGGCTGGCATGTGGTGCTGGGGGATTGAACTGGTCCCTGTGCTTTGCCAAGCTTGTTCCAAGTAGGTGCTTTAGACCACTGAGCCATCTCACCAGCCCCAACCAGACTGTTTCCTAGTTTTTGATCTTAGCGAAGTAAGTCTCTTAATAGTCTACTGGATTTTTAATTTTCCAAAAAGCTACAAGTCAGATTTTCACTTAAAAATCAAATAGTATTGGGGCTGGAGAGATGGCTCAGTGGTCTAAAGCACCTACTTGAAACAAGCTTGGCAAAGCACAGGGACCTCGGTTCGATCCCCCAGCACCACA